CTAAGAAAGACCTCATCTCAGTCACAGACTGAGGGCGTGGCCAATCACGAATGCTGGCCACCTTTGCGTCATCAGGCTTCAATCCCTCAGCGGAAATCTCATGACCCAAGTACAAGATACGGGTGCGGCCAAATTCGCATTTCTCCCCGTTAATCTTGAACTTGTGTTGTCGAAGGAGATTGAGGACTTTGTCTAAGTGCGCAACATGCTCCTCGACAGACCTACTAAAAATAAGTGTGTACACGATGATAACCTTATCCAAGTAGTCATTAAAGATCCGATTCATAGCGTGCTGAAAGGTGCTAGGAGCATTGCAAAGGCCGAAAGGAATTACCACAAACTCGTACAGACTGTACCTGGTCTGAAATGCGGTTTTGTGTTGATCCTCGGGCCGGATTACAATCTGATGGTACCCGGACTTCAGATCTATCCTACTGAAGTACCGACACCCTTGCATTCTATCTAGCAAGTCATCGATGCGCGGTAGGGGCTCTCGGTTCTTAATAGTGATGGCATTAAGGCCCCTATAGTCAATGCACATCCTCAAAGTGCCCCCCTTCTTTGGTACGAATAAAACTGGAGAACCATAACGAGAGACACTCGGTCGGATCCACCCCTTCTCTATGAGTTCCTTGAGTTGTTGGCGAAGCTCGTCAAGCTTGCTTGGAGACATCCGATAGATCCTACCCTTCAGAATGCTAGACCTGGGGATAATCTTTATCGTGTGGACGACCTCCCTCTCAACAACCCCTGTCGGCTCTTCAAATAGATCAGGGTACTTAGCGACTACTCCCTCTATCTCCGGCGGCATTTTCATCGGCTCGCCTGCAGCAGAGACATAAACTAGATACATACCCTCCTCCTGATTTTGCTTATGATAATTATAGAATGCAGCCGCACACATGCATCCATAGGACGGGATCAGACTACTAGCTTTGAACTTGCGTAATCTGGCGGTCCCTCCACCTGGCAAAGTGTGTTTGACCACTTTTCGGTCCCAGTCAAACTGGGGCTGTGCCACAGAGAGGTAGTACATACCTAGCAACATATCCATGGGGAGATCATCACTCACTAGGAACGAAACATGATATCTCAGTTCCCCTCCCGCGTCCGGGAAACAACACTCAACGTTCTGGAGGTAGTCATTGACTACCATGCGCTGTTTGTTGGCACAAAGTCGACTCCACAGGTCGACTCGAGCGCTGCATTTGCCTCTGTAAGCGCAGCCTCTCAACGCACGCACGACTAATGAAGTTCCGTGTCGAGCAAGTGTCATAATAGGCCCCGACCTTGCGGCCGCCAATGACCGCCTCGCTGACGAACATCTCACCCTTAGGGGCTTTGACCAATGTCGTCCAAGACGCTAGCGGGTCTGATCTAGAGCACTCCTCCTCTAGCTCCTCTAAGGACTCAAACACATTTATCGAACAAAGGCTCGATGGGTCTTAACGTGTTTGCGGGACGACGATGGAGTCAGTAGCTTGGGCCATCTCTCGAGATGGTGAGGGTGTGTCCACCACCTCGACCCTAGCAGGAACAACTACTATTCCTATTGGCCCGACGTGTTTCCCGGAGCGGTGCCAGAACTGCTAGCCACATTGCTACCAACGGGAGTAGAGGATCCCAACGCCTGCCCCATCGTAGGCGGGATCTTTTCGGTCACCTTCTTATTTCGACACTTGAACTGGTTATGGTCGTATTGGCCACAACAAATGCAAGCCTGCCGTGTGTACCGATCTCTCCACACGTCCTCGTTGAAACCCGCTTTCTCCCATGGAGGAGCGTTGTGGTCAACTTGACTCCTAGACCGGGACCCTCCTCGGCGTCTACCGGTCGCCTTACCTTTCTGTGCTATGACAGCGACTACTCCACCCCCTAAAGCCTCTACGCTGCCAACCTCTGAACCTATTCCTTCCTGGAAGTTGTCATCTAACTCGATGGTTGAACCATTGTTATCGACAAACATAATGCGACCCTTCGCCTTCCAGTTGGGAGGCAGTGACTTCTTCCTACCATCCATCGTGGGTGTCTGCCCATGCCCTATCTTTGCCTCAAGGTCTAGGGCCTTCTTGCTAAACGAGGGAAAGATGTGCATATTGATGTTGGCCTCACCTGCCAACTGGTTCCTGAGAGGCATGAGAAAGCATCTCAGGTAGGAGGTGAGTAATACCTGGGGGTCATAGCGCACCCCAGGGACACAGATCAGACACTCTACAACGTTAGTGGCCTCTCTCACTGACTTGAACCGCCTCGTGTGCAGTGTCAGGATCGCGTCAGTAGCCGTTTGGGCTTCCTGAGGATCATGCCATCTGTGTTTCACCATCTTGAGAAAGTCCTCCAGTTTCTGGTGGGCTGCCCAAGCGAGGAAGTCACGACCGTATCCCTGCAGCTGCACTAAACCACTCAACCATCATGCTGCACTCCCCTCTAAATAGGAGGCAGCCACAAGCACTTCCTCGTGTGGCAAGGTAAGTTTACACTTAACATACACCGACACTGCCCTCAGTGTCGAGGTCTTCGCCCCTCTTATCCCCTGTATAGGGTTTCGTAGCGGCGATGGCCGTCTTTGGTACCCACTGACTTTGTTCCGGTCCCTGCATCACTCCGGACTGTGGACCCTATGGTGCAGGCTGCTGCACTGGCTGCTGGGGCTGTGTACCCTGCGGCTGTGTAGCCTGCGAGACAGCAGACTGCCCGCTTACGGCAACATGTGACGGAGGCTGGGTGAACACTGTCTGTACAGGAACCTGCAAACTAGGACATGCTGAGAACCCGCCTGTTAGAGGCATACCTAGGGAAACGGGCTGGACCGATGCTGGGGATGTATATGGGGATACCCCAGCCACCGGTGGGACAGAAGGAGGATGTACAACGGGCCAGGCACCGGGTCCGGACGGTGATGGTGCCGCCTGCACTCGACCGACTAACACAACCAGACTCTGCTGGATGTCGTGTAAGATCTCCATCTGGTGATCTTGCATCTCTACTACACTTAGAAAGACCGAGCGTATGGTCCTCACATCATCCTCCAACTCTGCAGGGTCCATCTCCTCTAACTCACCGACGTCCACTTGCCTCTGCTGCATCCTGACTCTTCTTCTAATCATTCTTTATTTTTCTGCCTTAATCTCTCCCAAAGCCTGCTGTAGCTGTGCCTCGCCATCAGCAGCTCGCTGTATGGCGACCTCCTCGGGAGTCATCACTAACGGCTGGCTTGGCATTAAGCCAGTTGACTGACTCTGGGTCTGCGCAACCGTTGACCCTACAGATCCTGAACTGCTAGCCTGGGAACTCTGTTGCGCAGAGGTGGCCATGGCTGCTGAAGCTGCGACTTCACTTACAAACACCCTGCTGGCCTCTGCTGCTCTAGTTCTCCTCTGCTGCTGCTGCCTCTCCCTAAGCTGGCGGAACAGAAACCTATCACCCTCTGGTCCTAAGGCCAAGTGGGCAATCGGGCGTCTCGCCGATCGCAAGATCCAGTCGTCCGGTTGTGGAACCTCCCTGTCACTCATAAGCTACAGCACTATACACAACCTGCACTAGGACACTCTAGATGCCTACCTCAGTATAGTGCACATACCAACTAAAAATAAATAAATAATTAATTGGTGGTTGTGTCAGAGACTATCCATTCGGGTTCAACAGGTAAGTCCAGATTCCTACAAATAAAACTATTTTTAGTTTGACTAGTTCTCGAACAGAATGCACAACGAACAGAAAACAGTTCTAATATGCTGTCTGTCATATGTTAATGGCTGTACATCTAACTAATGAAAACATAAAAATAGAATCATTTGTGTGGATTGGGACAGTATGGAAATTTTCCCGAACTTATCACCTTAAATCTACCCCTCCCTCAGTTCCTCTTGAATGTCACTTGACGTCAGCGTCCCTGAGCCATCTAGAGAGCAGTGCGTGTCTAAAGGTGTGCAATCGACCCACCCCCGTGCCCCGAGTCCTGCTGAGCTGGCCAGCTCTAGCACATTGTTTATCCTCGCGTGCAGCGAGCCTTACACCGATTGGCTGATCAAGAGGCTATTTAAGGACCGCCCCCAAGTGTCCTCAGGAATTGTTTAACGTCGCAAACAAGACGATGATCACAACCAATGGTTATAGACGCCCGGTACTCGTCTCCCACATAGGGCTGGCCTGCCCCTCAGAACCCATCTAACAGCGCAGCGAGCTGAACAAAGGACAAGCAGCAAGGCATGCGTGCTCTACTCCCGGTGGGTTGGCATGGTGATCGTGACCCAGTGCTTCGTCCAGGGCCCTTCAGAAAGCTCCGCCCATCTTCCCCCAGATGCTCCACGTGAACATTGCCGACTCTCAAGGTTGAGCGCACTCGACTTCTCACAACGAGAGGACTCTCAAGACGGAACACACATCCTCACGGTAAGAAGTGTCGAAGAGAGTAGATAAGGTTAAGAGCAACGTACCTCAAATAGCTGCCCCCAACCACAGAGATAATCTCACCAGATGACCTGACGCCGATTATGATGACCAGTCATTGCTTCGGCACAGCCAGCATTACACGCCGTTCCACCTCAGCACCAATCGCACATCAGATAGTTCTCATCACACCGTCCAGAACCCACATTACACCGCATAGCCTTCCTGGCGAACCCTCTCCACCTGGGTCGCCTACTGTTGCCTTCGCCCTCCTCACTACACACGTCCCACTGCACGATCGCTCACCGCACACACCGCGTGCATGTACCGCATTAGGCACAAGACAAGCGCCAGATTAGCGCACCGTACCACAACTCCGATACCAAATTGCAAGGAAGATGAGCAATAGCGAACTTCAGCAATCAAACAGCATCATACACATAAGACCAGGTAGTCGTGACCTCGAACCAAGAGCAGAATTGCATCACGAGTTTCACCAAATAAGAGCACACCAAAAGCTCATAATTGACAATGCTGGAATAGTCTCATCATCATCATCAACGAAGAACCAATGTTGATATCCCATCTGGCGCTCGGCGCCCAGACTGCAGGTGGCAGGTCCTATCCTGCCTACTCTACAATGCCGCTGATGACGTGAACAGCTCCCCGAAGTACGAGCAGATCTCGGCCAATGCCGCACGCTTCAAGCACCAGGTATGTCTCTCGTATCACTCACAAACTCGTTCCCCAACTCACAGATGCCACGTGCACCCAAGGACCACCATGCACCCCATCTAGCATACAGCAGCGCAGCTCGGCTATGGCTGCCTGCTCCTTCCAGCTCGCCCGTGAGCGCGTGAGCCTGGCAGGCGATAGCGCAGCAGCGCTTGCGCACAAAGCAGTCAGTGCCCGAATGTCCAATGCGGAGGCAGGCCCTTTACTATATGGAAGTGGCCTGCCTGCTGCGGTGTTGGGCCTTTCCCAAGAAGCTTCCGGTAGGCCCCGGTAGGCTGAGTCCCAATCCAAACAAAACAGGCCCAGGGCCTACGGTGGTTACTTGTGCCCAACTGCCCTCGGCCTGTGTTTGGCCCACATCCCGTTGTGAGGAATCCCGGGGAGGGGCACCTGCTCGTCGCTGAAGCCAGGGACAGCGGCGTCTGTCACCCGCCGTGTACGCTTCAGAGGTCCTCAACAGCGATCAGGGATTGTGGGGAATGATTCGCCTGTTGTGTCCCCACTCAAGGGTCCTTAGAACCTTAGCATTCCCTTGTCCAAAACTTATCTCTTTTCTCGATGATCAGCAAGGTTAACACCAAAGCAAACATTGACCTACTCTCAGTCAACGACAAGAATGACAGCAAGTCAAGCGCGGCTCTATTCCCAGTGGACAGTGAAGGTAACACCGATTCGGACACTGTCCGATTTATAGTGTTCTGCGAAATTAACAGTTGCTGGTCTAATCATAGTCAACAGCGAGAACGGCAACAACTCAATCACAATTCTGTTAACAGTGAACAGCAAAGGTAACACCAATCCAAAAGCTGCCCGATTTATCGTGTTCTAGAAGATTGTCAGCAAACCGTACTGGGCTTGACTAAGTAAGGGCGATTCGAGCAAGACTTTCTTCAGAATCGGGGGAGTACTTTTGAGAGCTCATCTCATCGAGCAGTCTTCCTCTCGTTGCGAACCGCTCTCTCGTTCTCAGATCTCTCTTCACTCAATTTGTTCTCTCTCTCTCTCTCTCTCTCTCTCTCTCTCTCTCTCTCTCTCTCTCTCTCTCTCGCAATTTTTGTCTTTCCCTCGCTCAGTCTGTTTTCTCCCTCTCTCTCTCAATTTTTACCTTCTCTCTCGATATGAGCCCTTCCATAAAGCTGTTCATCCGTTTTACGGAGTGATTAGCCCGACAATCAGCAATAGACCCGTTAATCTTCTCACTCTTGGGCGAAGAGCTGTTCCGATAATCAGCGGCGAAACTGTTCACTCATTTATGGAAAAAGCAGATCTGTTGTTCGGCGACAAAGCTGGTCATACTTTCACAAAAAAAAACAAAGAAAAAACTGAACTGATAATCAGCGGTAAGATTGTTGACTTATTTACGGCAGTGGTCGATCTGATTACCAGCAGGAATAGCTGTTCACCCTCTTATGGAGATGGCTGATCCGAATACCAGAGGTAGTAACTGTTCACCAGATCATGGAAATGGCAGATCCGATTACTGGGGGTAGGTTTTGAGAGCGAGACCCTCAGGCTCTGATTCCCTCGGCCTCACTCAGTGCTTGCCCTYGCTGTCACTGACTCATAACGGATCTGAGTCACACTTACCTTTTTATCCGTAAATGAAATAGTCTTACTTATAAAGACGAGCTTCGATTTCTAGTCCTCCGCTCCTGTACTCTCATTTAGGAACCGAGTTTGACTGAGCACTTCAATGGAGGAGACCGTTTCCAAAGGTAGTGGAGCTGCTCGATTGTTTCGCCAGCCAAAAGTGTCCTCTCGTGTCAACAGCGTGTATGCTTGACTGTCTCACGAAACCAGGTGTCCGTTCGTATCAACAGCGCGGGTGTTTGATCGTCTCATCAGCGAGACTGACCTTTTCCCCAGCTTCTGGAGTGCTTGATTATTAGACCAATGACATGAAAATATTTGCGCCCGCCTGCAGCAGTGATGCCTGATTGGCTGACARTCGGAAGCGRCGTTTCTCACTAGCGGYCGGGGCTGTTTGATTGGYTGATYGGCGTATGTGGCCGTTACAGCTAGCAGCGRAACTGTTTGYTTGGACTGATCAACGTATATGGCCGTTTYCGCTAACAGCGGGMCTACGMTTGTTYGGCTGATCAGCATATGCGTCCGTCCCTSSTAACAGCGGAAATTTGCTTGCCATTCCCGCCATACYGGTTCGTCCCTACTCGRTCATCTCTTTTCCCAATCCTCTACGAAACTCCCTGGCAGCGGAATAGCTCTCCTCATCACAAAACTCTCATCACTCCCCSCCCGGCACGCCTGATATGTTCCCGTGGAGGAACGCGCTGTACAKGCCTCTCTCCTCGAATTTCCCTCCTCGCTGCCGCCTGCYTGGCGCGACGAAACGTGCTGCATCCGTGGGCGGCRTACACCAGGCACACCGTCCAGTCCCAGTCCAAAAGAATTCCTTTTGACCCCACCAACTCTCRARAGAGTGGGCTGTATACGTCGTGSACGCTCTGYAGGTGCTCTCTTCGTCTGATTCCCAGTCCGAACTAYGTATGTCTGCGCTTTCCGTCCCCTCTCCACTTCATCATCAAGCTTCTCGAGTACRTTCCCGTAGASAAGCTCGGCACGTGCCGATTTGGGGGCGGTGAACACCTGGCGTGCCTCCCCCTTTCGCCCCACGATGTTCCTCTTCAAGTCAACTGAGTGTATGCGGTGCACACCTGGCGCTCCGTTCCTCGTCTCTGAAACGGGCTGGGGTGTGGGCTGTGTACACCTCGCTCGCCGAATGATCCCCCCCCCCTTTTTTCCATTGGTCCCGCAATATACAGACCGTCGTCCCGTCCGTAGGCCCAGCGGACCGAACGTGCTTGCAACGTCCTGACAGTACCAGAGCCCCCCATGAATGTCCACCAACAATGGCGCCAGTGGTACCCGCCTCAACAGCGTCAGCGGCAGGGTCTGCGGTACCGTAGGTGGGGTTAGCCGTATCAGTGAACCAGCTTCAGTAGAAACCATGGTCATAACCTGGCGCCTTTGGTTATTCGTAGGTATCATATGATTTATGGTCATGACCAGACAACCGTCCGTAGCGGATCCCATAGCCGTATCAAAAGGGGTTCGAGTGAGCTCTTGTGTTGGGAGCAGTACCACCTGTGTCGTACTTGAAAGTTCAACAGGACCAGGAGAAAACCGGCCCAGTGCCAGCCTGAAATAATCGGGGAAACCCGGTTCAGTGCCAGCCTGAAATAATCATTTTGGCTGCAGCGAACTATACCTTCCCAACACCATGCCAACACCGCGTCTGAACTAAACTTCCGGAGTTACTGTAGTCATATCGATGCTTATCCTGCCCRATGCCAAGTGTCGTGCAACGCGACAAGGTAGTGATAGCATCGGACCCGTCCCGAACCAAGCTGTTGAGCCAAGTAACGTACCAGCTGCCGARWSARGCCACACCAATGCTGGTCCTGAAATTACCATCTGAAGTGCAGCAGCCTCAAACCGGACTGGAGTTCCGCAGCAGGAAACACCAACATCGAAACCACCCGTACCGTGCCAACGCTGAATCAAATCCGAAGCTGAGACAATCGTACCATGTCGACGCGGAGCCAATACCGAACCTGTAACATGTCGGTGTCGACCCAAAACCGAACCTGAAAACGGCGCAGTGGCATGTACCATCCCGATGCTGAACCTGAAAATATCGATGTCGAGCCAATACCGAATCTGAAGTATGTCGAACACCATAGAATGGAACATCTCAGTAGTGACACCGAACCTCTCCGAACCATGTGTCCGAACCGAAGCGGCAACAACACCGACGCAACGGAGTCGTGCGACATAATTGAAAAACATGGCGGTAGCACCACGCAGTCCATCTATCCCGCTCTCATAACACACAGGTCGCGGCGAGGCAAGGAATCGGGGAAATCAGATAGGCCATGCGAGCAATCTCAATCATCGCTAAATAGTAAAAACCGTCAGAAAAAGAGTAATTAATTAATCCGAGGGCAATCCCGAATTGCAAATAAATGGACTAAAATTCTGCCAATCAATTAATAAACATGGTTTTTCTACCTTCTTATCATTTTCACTTATCTAATAACCCTAATAAAAGTTAGTAGGCCGCGGGGCCGACTCTCGCATTTGGGATGGTCCACATTAGGGTTTTTGCATCGCATAGCGTGAGACGTCCGATGTAAAATTCTGACGCGCGATGGGTTTCATCGCGAATCGTGAGACGTTCGATGTAAAATTCTGGCGCGCCTGACGCGGCGTGCCTGATGCGTCTGACGCGTTTGGCGTTTGTTTTTTTCTTGGGAGTCCGGTTTCGTTTCGTTTTTGCGCTCTCTTTTATGCTACGGGCCTCACTGCACTTCTCTTGAAATACGGACAGATACACCCCCCACTCTCCCGTTTGTAAATAGTTAAATTTAAAAGAAAAGAAAAGATAAGAGAAGAAAAGAAAAGAAATGGAAGGAAACTCTCGTACAAGAAACGTACGATAGAGCCTTCATCGTGCTTCACTCTGACCATATTTTTCCTCAAGTCCCTTGGGACTACTGGTCCTAGCATCGAAGCGGTAACGCGGTCGTACTGAAATGCAAAGAGACAAATAATAGTAACGACGACGTATCGCACCGGGCCTAGAATCTCTGCATGGCACCATCCAGTGAATCGGATTCTTACTGGCCAATACACGGTGGTGCGTCCGCACCTTCTAGCAGCCTTATTTCCCTGTCACTACATACCTTACTACCCTTAATAACCCTTCCCAGAAGGGTGTTTTTTCACGGCGCTGCATCCATTGCAGGCCGGCCAAAACTACCCTCCCGGGATAATTGCATTTCCTCAATTCTTCACATAGGGTGAGGACGTTACAGCACGTCAAACCCTCGCTGTTGGAGTTTTGCGCAATCCGTTGTATAGTATTCGCAATAGTGGCAAAATTCGATGTTCTGGGTCCATATGACGAAAAATCCTTATAGGTCTGAAAACGCAGTGGTTCGGCGCTCCATATCGAG